CATTAAGTAGGAATTTCATATTCCATGAGCACTGCGGCGATAAGCTTTTCATTACAAGTACAAGTATATTTAAAGCGTTCAAAACCTATGTTCGATTAATCGGTTAACCCCTTTGTCTGGTCAGATATCTTCTTGAAATGCACCTGGTAGTGAAATTGGTTGTCCCTGCTGTAAGGTGCAAATCTTTTTAAGCGAGCGATAAATCGCCAATTGATTGTGTGTCCAGTTTCATGCTAGATAAGTTGTGTAATTAATATTTGTGCCTGTTCAGAAACATAGATTGCAGTTTTATTTGGCATGTATTTTTCTAAAGCTAAAAGCCTCTGATGTACATGATTACTGGCAATGAGCTGAACATTCTCCAAGAACATATGTTTTTCACTGCAGCTAAATTCTCCGATACTGTGTGGTGTTCTACTAAATTTATTTTCCAATTCCGCTAGCTTGCGTTGCACAGCGTCACGGTTAAATGCATGTCGTTTAAACATCTTCCTTTTAGGGTAAATCCAATCACTAATTTCAAAATCTGGCAGGATACTAATTACGCTTAAGGCACACATTGGAAAACTGAACACAGTTTTTGTCTTAATCAATCTTTGTAAATGACCTCAGGGAACTGTTTGAGCTACTTAACCATTGAGGAAGGCTTAAATAGTTTAACTAAATGATAATTCGTGATTAGATTTCGAAAAGAGAAAATCATATTTAAACGCCTGTTTTCAATGCTTCATCTTCCGATCCTTGCACACATCTGCGGGAGTGAATAAAATAGTATCGAACCATTAGCTTAAATTAGCCACTTAATTAGCCGAGCTCGTCATAGTTATTCTCCGGTGGATATCGAATTTGAAGTATAAAGAGTCACCTTGACATTACAAAACAATGAATATCCCGAGCGATTCATAGCTAGTGCGCAAACACAGCCGAAAAGTAGACCAGCAAAATATGTAACAAAGAAAATTTATTTAATTACGCCGCCGTTTATAGGGGACCAAATAGACAGATATCGGCAGCGTGTTAGTCAATCGTTTAAGAACTCTTGCTACGTGGGCGAGCTAACGTCATAGCACCAAGGGAGATGGCTGCTGTATAAAACTAATCTGGACAGATCAGGCTCTAAAGTTACCATTTCTTTCATCTGCCTGTTTAACTGTACTTGTTGTAGCAAAGAGATCAGTGGAATCGAAATAAGACTGTCAGCGAGGAACGCAGAGCACATCCGGCGATTCATTATTGCCTATGGCTCGAAGCTATCCCGTAGCTCTATTACACGCCATACTTGATTGCTCTGTGCACAATAAAATTTGTGGTACGTTTAAGTAAATCAAGAAACAAGCAGTCACCGTTTACTACAGTTCGTTGATTTGCCGGCCATTCGGCGGTTGAAAACCAGTTAGTGTTAACAAACGGACTTCGTCACCAGCCTGATACTGCACTGGTGAGGCTAGTGTCGTATTTCCGCTGACCGGGTCACGTGCACTCACCGAATTTCGACCGGTTTAAATTTCGCCGAAAACATTGTATTTTTATGCCTTTGCTATGTAACACTGGTTAAATATCGAAATTCAGTAAAGTATGTTTCTTCGTGCGGTGTTTATTTGTTATTTACTATTCTTCTTGACTCAAGTCAACGAATGTTTAAAAATTAAGGCAATTTTGCGTAGCACGTTTGCCTTTGAACCTTTAATATTTGTAACATAATAATCCTTAATAACCAGTTGTAACTTGATATACCACTTAGAACTCAGCTCGCTAAATAACGCACAATGACGAAAGCATCATGGAACATTTATAGCGATCTTTTGATTTTGAGTGTGAACCGGATGGTCACTTAAATTTTAATCATGCTATCAAAAGTTATTTCTTCATTGTAAACTGTTGTAACCCTGCCCTTAGCCTCTGTCTCTCTGCGCTACCAACCAGCCGGGGAAAACAAAACGCTGAGCCTGCTAGACCGAAGTATATCAGGCACAAAACATGGCTTCTTTTATAGGTCACATGCGCTTTCGTCGCCTCTATCACTGAGGTGAGTCACATCTCTTGTCTGAACAGATTCGATTCTGGCAGCCGCCATCACTGTCTGACTGTAGGTAGGACCACGTCCGCGACATAACAACCCGTGCGGCGATGACGGTCTGATTTCGTCAGCTCCCGGTTTGACCCTGACAACCAGTCTGTCAGCGGCTCACGTGACCTGGCAGATCTCGCCACGCTCGCGTGCACCATCGTAGTCAGCTGTTTCGCCGCCGTGACATAAATTCACCCACCAGAAAGCGCGAAGGGTTGACCAGTGGACTAGTCCTGTTTACTCTCGACTTGTAAGATATTAGTTTGTTATTCTGATCGAACGCAATCTAACTGTCTGGCATATGTTGGGTTATGCACTATCGTTAAAAGTAAGTTTATCACAACACTGGTTTTAAGTACCCATACATGGTAAGCCGCTCAAATGGCCGATGTACAGAACACAATGCATTATCGTCTTTTCAGTTCTGTCAACTGGTACTTTTTCAATGACCTGGTTCTTTCGCTGAACTGGGAGAAACTATTTCACTCTTTATGTCCTCAACATTCGACAGACCTGTTTTATGGTATAACTGGCTTCTGCATCGATTCAGCAGTACCACTTAAACGTGATTACCAAACTAAACATAAATCGGATCACAAGGCTTTGAACGCGCCACGAAAGCTTCATAAGATTCGGTAGAAATTCAGGTTAACTGCTGACTTTGCGCTTTTATTATAGCAGTCGAAGCTCGTCGAAGAACCGAGGCAGCAAGGTGACAAAACACACCTTCTAGAAGAGTTTAAAACTTTGAACGGCCATAGCAAAACATCTGAGCTTGCCAAACTATTCCGTGCCCGGGGTTCGCATTGCATCGACAATTTCAATATTTTCCATCACACTTGATGCAAACATACTACGAGGCACCAGGTGATAACTGCCAAAATTTCAGTGCTTATGTTGCCGAATCACTGCTAAATGAATCATCAGACACACCAACACTTATCATGCCACAAAACAATGAAGGTCTATGCACAGTGGAATTCACTATAGCGAAAATCACTGGTCAAGTATCTCGCTTATACTCCTCAACTTGCGCAGGCACAGATGGGATCACTTCTTGTTTATTAAAAGGCAGTGGTAGTGGCTTGCTTCGGTTTTTGCTCGACATCTTTACACTCTCTTTTAACAACGGAGTATACCCTACTCAATGGAAACTTCTGTCGTTATCCCGCGACGTAAAATTGACGCTGCTTACGCGGTTAAAAACCTTCGTCCCATTAATCACACACCCATCGTATCTAGAATAATGGAAAGGATAGTGAAAGATGAACTATTTATATTCTTGAACCACGCTAACATTATCAGCAATTCGCAACACGGCTTCATGCAAGGTCGAGCCTGCACAACATGCCAGACTGACTTTTACACCACACAACGGCTGACATTTGCAACGGAAACAGTGTCGTAATCCTGTTCCTGGATATGCAAAAGGTCTTTGATAGAGTACCTCACAGAAGGGTTACTTAACAAACTAAAGGCTATAAGTATTGGATAACCGATGTTCTCTTGGCTATCTTTATATCTAACTGGTAGACAGCAGGTGGTGCGCACCGACGACCATTTCTCTAAACCGAAAACCATCACTAGTGGCGTGATTCAAGGAAGTGTTCTTGGCCCTCTTCTCTGTCTAATTTATATTAACGAGATATTCCAGAGAATAAGAAATGGTGTTGCATTTATCTTTGCTGATGACATTAAAGTTGTCTATTCACAACCACGTATAAATACTCAGGAAGTCGTAGATCTCATTCAGGATGACCTATCTGCCCTTGACTCCTTGTGCCAAATGTGGCAGATGTCATTTGCCGTGGACAAGTGTAATATTTTGTCGTAAAATTGCCAAGTACCGCCAGACAGTTTGTTACTACAAGGCGCATATATCTCTCAATGCAGAGCAGTTCGCGACTTGGACGTGCGATATTCAGTCACGTTTAACTTTCCTGCACAATGTGACTTTCAAGTTTCGAAATCCATGAAGATCATCGGTTATATCTGACATCAATTTTACCTCACGGAATCGCACATATCGCTTTACAAAACACTTGTATTGCCGTGTACGGAGTACTGTTCAATGGTACAGTCTAATATGCGGAAATCTGACCAGCACACTCTTGAGATGGTCCAGAGACGCTTCACGAAAAAGCTATGTGGATATTCCTCAAAGTTGACATACAGGGAGCGATGTGAAAAACTTGGATTTGACCAAGTTTGGCTTCGGATAATGAAGCTGAACCTACCTTTGCTTTAAAGAATCATACATAGTCAAATTAGCCGTCTTGAAATCGGTGTTTAAGTATCTTTAAACAGCAGATATCCAATACGTAACAAAGAGGTAAAGGTCGTTATCCCAAAACTTACTACAAGAATTACAGAACGTTTCATTCTAACCCAATACAAAGATTCGGAACAAACATCCAAGTGATATCAGAACACGGTATACACTTTGCAATTTAAAGCTTGCGATTAGTAAGCCTTTAAGCGTTCAAAACGTGATTAGTATGTTCAGGACATCACAGTCCTTAGATAACGCATTCGAAAACGGTATGCATGGTGCTTGAATAATTTTCCGAAACACAGACATATGACACTTCGGAAAACAGTCCCTTTCATTACATTTTTTTTCTCGGCCCAAACATCTATCATGTGGTTGTGAAGAATCATGATTCAGTGAGAGGAAAAAAGTAGCAGAACGATTCTGATTACTTTATGTTACCTAATTTGCAATTGCGCCCATGTTTATCTCTGAAAATGCATAATGAAATGTGATGGAAAATTTGTACCATTATTTGATATGTTCCTTCTAGGAAACAGCTTCTCGCATATTCGAGGATTATACAAGTTATTTATTTATTTATACTTTCGATTCCTTAACAGAAAATATTGTCTCATAGAATTGTTATATGAGCACTGTCATATAAGTTTAATGTAGAAGTTCATATTCAACAAAATTTTATCCACTCAATTTTATTGCATTTCTGAGTATGTTGCTACATAATCATGCAGAAACTAATCACTGTACATTGTAAGAAAAATTATACATTTCTAATGACAGCACTGTTAAACTATCAGTGCTGACGAATCCATGCCTTCATTTAAGAAAAACTCTTCAGATACAGCTGATTGAAAGGTGGTATGTGACCTAATTTTTTGTTCCCTCTCGTCGTCCGTTGTTTTTGTATTTTCGCTTTGTTTGTTCTCGTTGAAATCTTTTGTTAAATAATTATGGCAAGCAAACGGAGATTGCAGAAATGAGACCAATTCCAATGGTACTGGAAATATTATTGTCGATTCCTTTCCCGACGAAATGCTATTCATAGCCTGCAGATATCGCAACTGCATCGCAATCGGATGCTGTTTAATTTCAAAGGCAGCGGCTTTCAGTGCTCCTGAGGCCTGCTTCTCTCCCTCCGCGGCGATCACTTTGGCAGTGGCTTCACGCACGGATTCAGCCTCGGCAGCCATCGCCCGTTGTAGTTGGATTGGAAGTCGAACATCTTTTATCTCCACTCGTTCCACTTTCACACCCCAAGCTTCGGTGACGGAGTCCAAACATTCCTGTTTGAATGGATAGACATTAATATATGAAACATGCTGTATTGGTGTCATAAGCGTTTTTTAAGAAATGTTTCCATGTATTTGCACATGCATGCCCACAATATGGACACATCAGAGAAACTATATTCATTAGTATAACGTTTGTGGGAACAGTATAATGTGTATGATATGGAACCCAAATGAGGAGGTTTGATTGGTAAAATGTATACCAAGGAAAATAATAACACTAGTAATGCCATGAGCACTTTGGGAGAAAATAAATGAAGCACCGGGCAAGGGTTGTTGACCGGGCATAAAAACGCATGCTTAACACGTCCCTAGGATCGTTAGGGTTAAATGTATAAGAAACACAGTGTTAGTTATTGAACGTTGCAGACACATGACTCACCACGGTGTTTGGAGTAGCACGTTTGCAAGCAATCCTACCTGGATTTATGCAGGATCTTACAACGTCCTCTGTTTGTTCTGTGCAAATGCCATGATATAGTAACCATGGGCTATGTCACGTAGTGTAAATGTATTACGGTATCTTCAAAGCACTTGTAAATAAACATAAGGTTAAGGTAATCATTACATGCGCCGGGAGAGTGTTCCTGAATTGTGACACTCAGCTGTACGCATATACTTTGTAGTCAATCTTAGCTGATGAACCCACATATAGGTATTTATATTTAGTTTAAAGTGGTGTGAAAATTGTGGTTTCTAGGACCTAGTATAGAATTGTAGGATCTCTCCACAAATACCGATATGATCCAATGTATATCTTTAGCGTTTTCAACCTGGGTAGGGACGGCGGGACAAACTCCTGATGGTTTTCGTCACCCTGCGTCTTGCTGTATCAGGCACAGCGAGATGATGCTTCTACCAGAGTGGTCAAGCTTGGATAGCGTGTTCCACCTGCTGCTTCACGTAAACCCAAGGTATCTTCAGCAAGAATGAGGTGTTGAATTTCCAGAACGCTGTAGTAAGGAGGCCGAACTTTTGGTGCTTGGTATTTGATGCCTTTCAGTCTGCTTCAAACAAACAGGGTCATCTTGTACGAGCCCACCGAGATAGCATTCACGATTTGTCCACTGAAGGTTTTGTGACACTATCGGGTCTTAGTGATTTAATGATGCGTATGTTAACAAGTTCGTAATTGGCTGCATTGAACTGGCACATGTTCCGGATGCACCATATGTACGCTTTGTCAAGGTCTTTCTATAGTCTGTGTGATTCTCCACTGAAATGAACTTCCTTTTGTATAGGCAGGAATTCGTCACATCCAGACTCACTCAGAGAGCCGTCACATGCCCAAATTTCTACCTATGCCATTCAACTCCCCCTAATACTCCTTTGAACTTCAATCGATTCAGCTTCGTTACTGAGAACCATCACCACAAGTTGACGTTGAAGAATTTCGCTCATCCATCCCACAGTGGGATGGCCAATTCCAGATTTCTTAGTTTTGTGCAGTAGAATGCCACAGTCCAGACGACCAAATGCCTTTGAGCAAATTAATTTAGCTGCATGTTCTCATGCGTCAGCACCCAGAGATTTCGTCTATTATGCATGAGCCATCAACAGGTCAGCAGTACTGGACTGGTTTTGACAAAATACGTGCTGTATTGTATTAGCGGCTCAGCTACAATATACAGCATGATCTTATAGACCACCGGAAGAAATATTATCGGGCGCAAATTGTATGTTTCTGCAAACTTTGTAGATTGGTGCGATGATCACGTCGTTCCACCTTGTTAAGGTGTATGTTTCGCTAATACATCGCTAAAGAGTATTGTTAACGGTTCAGCTAAACCTATGGCGGCAACTTTCAACGCTTTCGGATGAATGACATCTGCACCAGGAGGGCTGTACCGTCGCAATGACATCAGCAGTTTCAGGGCAGCTGCATTGTTGAACTATATGTGGTTCGGTCCTGATAGTAGCATGATCTGTGTAGGCATGAGTTAAGTTGTTCTCGACATTGGGAGGTACGATCACAATTTTGTCCAAGAACTTTGGCCGCCTCTCATGTAGATTGTGTCAATCCGCATGCGGTGTCTGTATAGCAGCTTAGGGTTAAAGATAAATTTATCACAAAGCCTTGTTGCCTACTAAATTTATCCTCTCGCATGTGTTTGACGCAGTGCTTACTTTATATGTTATAGACATCCCAGTTGTCCTCGCTTGTAAAAGCCTTTTCAGCGAGCCATGCTAAGTACCGCAGCGCCATATATTCCCAAAATCCAGCACATTATGAACTATTGCAACTTTTTAGATTGGTCGGTTTTGGCTTCATATATGCTAGTTACGAACTGGTTGAATCTTCTGGTTAATTCAATGCTGATCACCTCAGCCGACCATCAGGTATGGAAAGACCGGCTTGCTATGAATGTGCGGTCAGACAGGTCATTTTAATTAGCAATGACATGAAAGACTTTGGTACGTTCTTTACGATACTCTCTGGTGGAACACTGGTGTCTCATGATTGTTGCGGTCCAAAAGAGTGCACGTTGTCACTACGTCGGTCATATGTTCCTCGTTGATGAAAACGCGGTACATGATTCGTGATCTTTTTCCTAGCCTGAAACGCGTTGGGGAAGTGGCGTGGTTTTACAGTGATGAACCAGCAACCAAATCAGGCTGTTCAGCCTTGTATTGATCATCGAGATTGGCCTGGGTTTCTAGGTCGTGTAAGCTGAAGTTCCTTACCGGTATAACGTGGCTGAATGATCGTCCTAATAGATTCTTCATAGCGGAGGATAGGGCGTGTTCCATTCATAAAGTGGACAATGGTGGACGGTTATTCAGTGGTCACTAATGATAAATCATCCCCAAAGCGTCCATGGTTTGAATCCCAAATTCGGTTACGAATTGAAGAGTAGGTTTAAATGGTGGTACAAAATTACACTGCCTCTCTGTGTAGCTCGGTCGATGCGTAATAGTGATTTAGCAGGTAAGGCGTCCAGTAGCACGTCGTTTGATCACGTTTAGGTTAAAATGATTAGGTCCCAAAATATTGAGGCTTGACGAGATCGCGGCTTATCCAAAACACTGACAAGGTCTTGCTCGTTTTACACAAACCACTGATAAGTACTGATTCTGGAAGCCTATCTGAACACGCAAATGTGTGGAAGTTTGGCAGTTGTTTTGCTTTTATTTTGGAATTCCCTCCAAAACCGCTTCGGGCATTTGCATAAAGCAATAACTTCCTAATCCTATAACAGTGCATTACCGCTGACACTCTGTCCCTTTTTTGTTTGCAAGGCTAGGGAGTTTCACGGCACTTTGCTTTAGAGATCCCGATAGGTGGGCCAGCAACAATGTGTCGCTGGTGTTTTGTTCCCTCACTTAAAGGTTGCCCGACGTTGGCCGTCTTCCGATGTTTCCCTGATGGCAAAAAAGTGCATCCTTTGTGCCAACTTCCGACCATTTATTTGGATTAGAGAGGGACTTTAAGCATACTTGAATTATTTATTTTACATTTCGGAAATTGAATAACCTTGTCATTGAGATGGTAATCACGTCGTGGAGAGAGGTCTTCGTAGATGTAGCTCCACTGTTCCAGGCCATACGCTTGGGCCTGCGACTCATCGGAAAACCGTGGACAATTATCAATCCTTCGTCGATTTGCTTGCGACCTTCTAATGGCTTTTGCTTCCCCTGCCAATATTCAATCTAAGCAAGATCAGGGTATATACTATGGCTGTATGACGAATCATGCATGAGGCAGGCTGCAACTATAGCGGTCTCGGCTTCATTACGCAAATGTATTCATATGATGTCTGCAATTTGTTGTGCCACATGCATTAGCAAAGAAGCAGCTGTATTAGCCACTCTCGTAATATTAACCCCATAATTTTTAAATCTTGATAGCAATCGTAATTGTGTTGCGGTTCACAGCATGATACAGATCAGCTGGGCCGTTAAATCGACACGCCAAAACCCTAATGAATTTGATTAAACATTCTGTTTATCACGAATCTGCATTTTTTTGATTCCTGATGTGATTTGTAATCATGGTTACTTGGAAAATAATACCTCTCTTACACCTATTTTGGAGTACATTTAAGAGCTTATAACATGTAAATTATCTATGTAATCACTTTTTCTCTCTGAACAGCTTAGCCGCAAGGAAGGATTATAGGATTTAATTGGAGCAGCAGTTTTAATTAGTAATGCTAGCGATTCTCAAGATACTAAGTGGATGTGCATCACTTGCGCTGACGCTGGTTGGTCTTATTAGCCTAAATAGAATACACGACAGGTATTTTGCGTTTTATTGTTTGAAAATCATCATAATTTCATTGATAATTACGATAAAATGATACATGATTTGAGAATCTTGTGAAAGATTATAACTGTGGTATAACAATGTTGCATCTAGTTTTGCTCTGCTAGATTTTATTTTACATATTTAGCCGATATGAATTTGTTTTAATGAAATATCGTCAACAAGTTGTTGGAGTGTTTTCTGGGTGTTTTGCAGGTTTTCTGACTTAATTAAGGTTTGCTGTTTCCCAGAGAAAATTACAAACTTGATAACGAAAATAAGGAGACTTCTAGGTAACTAAACTTGAAGTGTTTGTAAAGTATGGCAGTCGCGCAAATATGATTTACGTTGTCCAGTACTGTTTTACTGACAGCCCTGAACCTTTACTTCCCGATTTTCTAATGTTCGTACTTGCCAAATGGAGTTGCAAAGCAACCTTTACCACTAGTTTAGACTGTGCGTCTCATACACTCAACTGTGTGTCCTCCCAGACCCTGGTGATGAAACGCTGACTGTTGTGTCAAATGCGATTGTGAAGCTATTGCAGTAACCAAGGCGCAAGGCCCCAACTAATTTTTGACGGTCTACAAACTCAGCTCAGACTATCTCGACCCGAAGGGTTCAGGTCAGGTCGAAACTGGTCTTTACTATTAACGTTCGGAGGGTACAAGTCCGAAAAACAAAAATGGTCTACATTTATAATGAAACTTGAATCACTTGGCATGAAAGCAAGACAGTATAAGTTTTACTTACTCTCTTTTAAAATAGTCACTAAGAGCCGGCTGAGCAAATGACTGAAATACATGAACGTAACTGTTGTTTGACAAGTTAACTAATACCGTAAATTATAGCTGCCACACATAAAACTATTAAATTGAAAGTTTAATGATAGCAGCGTGTGATGCATACAGTAATTGGGATACTGTCTTTACATGATCACGTGGTATACTCTTGATATTAATTAGATTCCTTCGTTGTTCAGATGCATACATCCCGAAATGAATTAACCATTCCAAGAAATACCAACTGCCTAGCATAGTCAACTAAAAAATAATTTTAAGGGGAGCGTAATGCCGATCAGCCATTTTTGGTGCTTTGACAGAGTTCACAATAAACATGCGGAAATAAATCGGGAACCGAATGTTGCAACATTTACACATTCTAACAAAAACATGTATTATCCACTTTTAATTCTTTGTCAAATAATTACAATTCATGTCGTCTGGTTTCTTAAGTTGTCTGCTACCTCTGTCCCTCATCGTCGGCAGAAAGATGAAGCATTCAATTTCGACCCCAACTTAGCTGTTTAAAACGTACTTTATCTTTTAAATGCAGAGTTTGAGCTTTTCACTGAGATCTTTTGATATTTTGTTTTTCTGAACCATGGTCAATATCAATCAAGCTGACTTACAGTCAATCTTTTAAAAACAGGTCTTAAATCCGGAACTCTATGGTCGCAATTTAAATAGCATATTTAATCAAGTCAAGAAATATCGGTTCGGAATCAAGCGGAGACATCGTACTGCCTTGTAGTATGCCCTAGGTGCTGCTCGGTTGACATAGCGCAAGTTCAGCTTAGAATTACGCCTAGCGCAAGCTCGTTTATGGCAAATCTGTTAACCCTAGTGCTTTCAACGGTTCCTTTACAATAAAGCGCTTGGTCTACTGATGTAGAAGATGTAGTTAATCAACTCGATGAGTCTTCTCACCTCGGAAATCCCCGGTAGCGGCTTAGAAGCAATATCAAGCCACAAAAACGCCGCTTAACTCCACTACAAACTAGTGCAGTAATGATGTCAATTCGAGGGGCGTTGAAACGTTTGCAGCAAAACCTTTGAGCTGAGCGATCAATTCGTCCACCAACTGAAATAGCTGAGCTAAAAGTATTTGCTTCTCTATCACTAATTTGGTGTTGGTACAGTACAGCAAACTACTATTCACATACGCAGGTATATCTATTCGAATGCGTGATATTTTCATTATATGTGTTATGACCGGAAGCTTCTACGTAACTGCTGATACTTCGCATCTGATTTAAGTTGTTTTGAGTAATAAATACCTTCCATGTAACCGCCAAAACGAAATTGTTTTAATTAGTATGTTATTGATGACTTTTACTTAAAGTCTGCAATATACTTTAGAAAGCTTCGATTGATAGATATAGTGACGCTTATTAGCAGAGAATACAAGCTGCTAAACTGTGTATGTATATATGGATATTTGTTTTCTCATAAAAGCGAACCTATGAGTAGCTCAGAAACTTGCAGTTTAAAATAGTGTACTGTTATACAATTGCAGCTGTTATGGACGTAATGACTAGACGTCTATTTAAGATTACCAAACGATCGAACGGCTAAATTTAAATTGCACAATGGAATAGTTGACGTCTTCCTTTACTGATATTCATAGTTTGATGACGAGCACCTGTCAGTACAATGCAAACATCGTTAATAATTAACCAAAAAGCGGTTTGTCTTGTTTTGTTGTGCCGGAACGATATATCGACTGGCAGACTAGTTTTAATAAACTTGGCTAAAGCACCCCCGCAGAGCTGTACACTACCGCGATTGTCGCCAGTTTACGGTTTAGCGAATATTTTTCTTGTAGAGGCAATTGTAAATGAGTATAGTTTACTTTGTAGTCGAGATGAATATACAGTTCTGATAATCTGCGGATGCGCTTCCGAGTGTGGGGAGTTTTGGGCTTTCACCTAATGCTCCATCAAATACCACAAAAGCAGGTGCGGCACTGTGACAAAGTCAGTGACCGGGTATAGGGTCACCGACTACTCCTTTCTCTAAGTAGAGATGAGTGTCTAACATAGAGCAGATGAACAACCTTTCTCGACATCGGCATCTGTGTGGATTTCTAACGAACACAAAGAAGGCAAATGCGTGAATCACCCTGCTGTCTTACAACGCAGGACTTTGATCCCAAAGGATTGGAGTGGGGTCCATTAAATCAATACTCTTCCTCGGGTTTGTTAACCGGGAGACCCTCGGCCAACACAACACACAAACTGAACTGTTCATCTGACAAAACTTTTTCCATTTGTTATTGTTATCTACGTGTTATGGCACCCTAACAAATGCATATTGCTTGCGTGTTGAATATATATATATATATTGCTTAATCAAATTCAATGGTGGAATAAAAAGCTTCATTTTAGAGATGGTTCCTCCAGCCACGGGTCAAACCTCGGCAACCACAATTGAGATAAACAAGCAGACAAGTTCACACTGAAGCGCTTCAGGCAACGTTAGTAACCTTCGTCTGTGGAGGCCCTTGAAGCGGCACTGTGCGAAGAGCACCTTCAGCTAGATTGGTAAGTCGGTTCGAGAAAGACTAAAATACGAGCTTAGCTACTTCTCATTTATTCCATACTCGTTTTCCTACTTCATCAGTAGACGTCTAATATTGCTGTTTGACCAAAGATATGCACAAATAAAATAGGAAGACATCGAATAAAGCAAAACTAGTGGACCAGGAAAATATTACTGCTTAAGATTAAGCTGATTCTCTTACACTACATTTAACATATATATTCTACAAATTTGCCACTATAGGTGCAATCTCATGTATTTGGATATCAGCCACAGTATTATCAACGTCAAAATGGATACCACAGGTATCACTATGTTTCATAAACATCTTAAACCATCTTCCGAAAACTGTTGTATTACGTGGGTTTTACTAACCAGCCAGTTTGCAGACACAATTCACCAAGCTGCATTGGGTATAACAGCGTACATTTCACAATCTATAGCGTAGGTACTTGACCAAATATAAAATCGGTACAGTTTTGATTTTAGTACTTATATTTCCTGGACACTTCTACGGGCCAATTTTGCTCTATCTACTCGCAGTGATCTGAGTTTAACAAAAGGCTCGTGATCTATACTGTGTCAAGTTAAAGGATTGTAATCCAAATATGTATTTAATTTGTAATTGCGCTTCACATCTCCATGCCGTCTGTAATGTTTTGCACGCACTCATGGCATCATATTTTCAATTTGTATTAACTTTTTATGCTAACAAGTTACCGATGTTATGCTGAGATGCTTTTAATCCTCCATATTGAGCAAATATTATTGTTTGATTGTGGATTCAATGATCCGGTAGACTGGGCTTCATTTAAACTACACAATCTTAACGTTTACAACAGCAGTAATGTAAGATTTACTTTTATTCAATTAAAAACTGTTGCAGCATCTCATAGATGTCTCCCTCACACTAGGTGCGAGAAAAAATTAATAACCAGACACTCCACAGCAAAGTATTTTGTCATAGTTTTGTGCTAAAGCATCTGTTAGTTTTCATATCAGCCTGAAGGGACCAATTTGTGTGCGCTCAGTATTTAGGTGTATCACTGTTTTGTACTTTATCGATTACTCTTATAACTGCAAATATAATTCGCAATTGTTTACACTACTTACATGGACGGCCTCAAAAGGACCACAAGCTATTGACACTAGCAAAACGCGCAATCCTAGATGCATCAATTTTCTAAAAGAACTCTAGTTGAATTGAACAATCCTGCGCATAGGAATGTTGGCAAAATTCATTTGTATACGGTCCCAAATGATCGAGGTGATCCACTGCCCATTAGCCATTAAGAAATGTTCCCTTCACTTCCATACATTCAAAATTTAAGGCTGCGTTTGTCCGAACTTCATCGTATCGTCACTTCATGTTTCCAGATCTGTCATATTTGTCTGTGGAAGTGACAATTGGAAATAAGTTTTATTCTACTCCCAACTTAGGTATCATTTTATTAATTTTATCAACCAGTTTATTCAAATGGGTAATACCCAATGTAAACTTTAAAGGATTTTGTCACACCAAACTTATTCGGAGTTAAGTTGAATTGGATGCAATAGATGCAAAAACCATTGCTGGTGTTTCATGTGCACAACACAGCTTAGTAACAAGTGCTTTAATATAATTTGTTGTGCAGTGTACCTGCATTAGAGCCGCGATATCCTCACGAGCTGTCAAAAGCTGATCCAAATTAACAGTTCCAAGCACATTCCGAAGCGTTGTCTGCCCTAGAACTCGCGTCGCTCTGTTCGCATCCTCAACATTGACAACCGCTCTAACCGGGTCCCGTACACGGTAGTATACCACTGCGTTGACTACAACAGTAACAGAGTCCTTCGTAAGTACTTCTTGAGTTGGTACATCAAAAGTGAACGTGCGCAGGTCCAGAATACGATATCGATCGAGGCAAGGTAACACAATGATCAGACCTGGTCCTTGTGCAGTTGCGGAAACCAGGCGACCGAGCCGAAACAGCACAGCACGTTCATAGTGAGCCACAACCTGAAAGTGAAGCCAACAGTATTTTGGAATAAGTTTGCTCTGGTTATGTGCCTAATTTAAGTTAAAATCGTACATAAAGGCTGGATGAATTTTCTAACAAATTACTCTGCTCTATAGACAGCAGCACTGAAATTGCTTTCTATGATTTTTAAAATATAAACTTCGTCGCCATTATATGCAATATCATATAAATGGTTTTATCAAAAGGTAGGTGAAGTTACTGTACGTGACTTATGAAGAAGAGGTATTGCGTCTGCCCTTCACCACAAAGAATACCAACAAGCTATGTTGAGTTATGGTCTCGCAGTTACAAGGATTTTGTTGAATTGTAAGGTACGCCGTTTCATTTTGCATACTTCAAATTACAATCACCGATAAAAATAAAAAGTAACTAAATTTGTATATTTACCGACAGACGGTACACGGCCCCCATAAGTGGGAGCGAACATTTGTATAGTGAATACGTTTCATGGATTACTAAAATAAAGTTTTTTCATATAATTTCCGATCACGATTTTTTCCACGTGTCCTAGACCCGTGCACCTCATATGTAAAATATACGGATGTTTGTGTCATCAGGAGGATATAATAAAACAGAGGGACTACTAAGCTGCACAGGCACAGCATTTGGTATTGTATGTAGTGACATGTAGTGGGTAAGCTAGTTGTAAGCGACTATCTGCTCATACTTTTATACCAACATCTGGCAATGTTTCTTGAGTTTGCTATGAGTCAAATATCAACACATTTGGTACAGTGAGGAACGTCTGAAGGAAAATTCGAAATGTGACATGGCTTGTACACATGCGTAGCTGTAGGGGTACTTTGTTTCACACATCAGTGTACCTTGCTAAGAAGAAATTCGAACGAGTTTTATGACTTGAAAGGTTTGTGCGTATCAAGTAGCCGCCATTACGTGTGGGTAGACTGCAATATTTCGTAGTTCTAGTGCGGGGCTGTCTGCGTAAATTCGTTGGTTTATAATGTATTAGAAGAGAACGAGGTTGTTCTTTAAGCGTCTCAGCCAAAGAGGATCCAGTTGGAGTCCTTAATAGCGATCATAATCAATCAGGTTTGAGCAGCCCCCTATGACCAGCTTGGTAAGTGATCGTTGGAAATTTTCTAGAGCCATTCTGTCTTTCCCAATTGGCTGTGAAAGATTGTACCGTATTCCAGAGTCCGTCGTACTATTGTCTTGAATGACTCAAGTCCTGCCTCAGATGGGGAGAAAGTTCTGGTGATATATCCGCATAACTTCCTTGCTTTCTCAAGCTGCTAAAGTACATGTTCGGAAAAATTGCAAGATTTGGAGTACCTAATTCCTAAGTCCCGAACTGAATCAGTCGTTTGGAGCACATTTCCGACAAATATGATAGAGCATTCTGTGATGCTGCATCTGTACCCAAGTACTTGGGATTTCACTGCGGATAACTTTATTAAGGAACGCTCACTAGCTATATTTAGTGCGGATAGGTCTTCATAGATGTTTGCCAATCATATTTGTTGCCTGTCTGAATGAAATGACTAAACTCGTTTGACGTCATCTGCAAACAGAAATGGGTGTCAATGTTTGATCGGGTCACATATATTGTTTACCTAGATTAAGAAAAGTATCGGTCCGAGCACACTTCCCTGGAAGACACCGCTAGTTATTGGCTTCGGTGTAGAATGTTGCTGACCGATTTCAACGACCTGAGTTCGACCGTTTAGATATGAGTCGAAACAGTTAAGCAGGGAATTTCCAATTCCATATGACTCTAGAGCAGAGAGCCGTGGCTGTTGTGGCACGCGGTCGAACGCCTTTTACATGTCCAAAAGAATTATAATAATCGCCAATCCTCTGTCAATCAAAGTGGTGACTCGATCGAAAAATTGTAGCTGGTAGGTAACGCAGGAGCGTTTTGAGAGAAAGTCATGCTGTGAGGGTCTGATCAGATCCATTCTTGTAAAATATAATACGCTGTTCTTCTTGACTATTCGTTCTATGGCTTTGGAAGCAGTAGAGATGTGTTTTATTGGGCGGTAGCTTGAAACTTGATTTCTTGGGTCACCTTTGTGCTTAGGCATTATAATGGATTACTTCTGTTGAGATGGAAAGCAGCCGGTAGTGTGTGAAATTGTGAAGATGTTTAATAACAATAGAGATAGGTTTTTTCCTCCTCCGTCTTATAACATTTAGGGAGATGCCATCTGGACCTGGACGCATTGCTGGTTTTATGGATGCTATGGCACTTTGCAGCTTTCTTAACTTCACAGGGATATTGCAGTAGAGCTCGGTCGTTATTTTTCGAAGTGGAGGATGAAATGACCCGGTGTTAGAGACAAAACAGAAGACAAAACTATAGTTCGTATTCTCGAATGTACAGGAGATGTCGCGCGTTATTGAGCCATCGTCTAGTGCCAACGTTTCAATTTCCTGAAGTGCTTTGGGGTTCATATTTTTGAGTAGATGCATTAACGTACGTACTTTTTCAGAATTTCTGAGTATTCAACTTTCATTTTTTGATTTCGGCCGTTTGCCTGACATGATGTAAATGTAGTAAATTCTCGTGTATTTATAGCAATGTTGCGTAGCTGTTGCTCCTGCAATAAAGCGATTTGAGTTTCTTTAGTTTGGTTTTGGCTTTGTACCGAAGCTTGAGTTCAGCTCTATGTTCATGGGTGTTTCTCCTTACATTATGTGCCAGTAGATCCACACCAAAGGCAATTTTGTTAATGAACTCATTTGTAGCCGCAGTATGGTTGCGAGTTAAGAATGACCTATTCTAATTCATGGTACTGATAAGTTCGTTAAATGAGTTCCAGTCCATTTGATGGAGTTTGCGAATGGGTTTTAGCATTTTACTTGGTCGTTTAGGTGAATCTATAGTCACCTCACAAAGCACCGTGTTGTGATCACAGCCAGGTAGTGGATTATCAATGAATGTATAATCTAAGAGATTTCCATCGTGAATACCATGTCTAAGGTAGTGGCAGTTCTGGTTGGCTCTCCAACATGCTGGGTCCAGCCCTTGAAGTGATTCCATGAGATGTTTTCCTCAAAGTCCGCAGTTTTTCTGAATGTATGCAGCATCCAGATAAAATATGGTAGGTTGAAATCTCCACACATAATTTTGATTCTGTATGTGGTGCTGGAAGCGGCATTGATCATATCGATTAGCTTTTGGGTTGCACACTGAGTTAATCAGCGCGTCCGATAGATAAAACCCACTAGAAGATCAGTAGATGTGATCATTAGCCATATCTTCTAAGCCAATGAAAACATGTTGATCTGCGGGATTTGAAGTCAGGTTATTTCGAAGATAAATGTCACAGCCACCGCCACGTTTATGTGAGCGATCCTTGCGGAAATGTTTATAGCCTATGACGTTAAGCTGAGAATCACTTATTACTGTGGTGCACAAATTTTCAGTGACAAAAACATTTTTGGAGGATCTCATAAACATAAGTGTTGAAAGTAGCTCTAATTTAGATAAAAGGGAACGAATGTTAATAAGGACAGATTTGAAACATATTGTTAAATTGCAATGAAAGTAGTAGGTAATGTTTATTTCATCGTCATTGTATCTGAAAACTGTATGTTTTGAGATAGCTGAGGCACACTGAACTCTAGATCGTACCGGATTGAATGGATAACATACTCCAGTAGTTTGATAATCATGTGCTTCATAATGGCACGTGATAGGGGGTTGGATTGGTGGGGGAGGAACTGGTGGTGTTTGATTGTCTAAAAAAGGATTTACTTCCGTAATATACGGGGGTGGGGGATGCTTAAGTCTTGAAAAATTAGTATGGATTAGTCCCGGTTTAAATTATCAATCTGGATTACTTTTTGCAGCGCATATTTGTATATACGTATGTCATTCATTAAAGTATATACAAAGCGTTTTAACTGACATAGTTGGGTGTCTGTAAAAATAAGCTTGAGTATCTTGGTGTGTTACTGAAATAAAAGCTTTCCACAATGCAAATAATGCAACCACCAAATGCTGATAGATTTTAGGAATATATATATATATATAATTAAAAAACCTAATTTTTTCAAACCAAATGCTGCGGTTCGCTGTTTATCATGAGTCATTGGGCTTTTATTTCACAGCATATTACATGACGAAACCTCACAGGTTATAGGTCAATTGAATACGCCTTGATCTAAATAGTATGTGTAGTATATATAAAGCAGTCTGAAATAAAATTAATGGCTGCATTGCTACACTGCATCCATGCACAGTCAAAATATCTTACATAATACTGCGTATGCTTAGTGAAATGTAATCTACATTAAAGAGATGTGGTAATTTCACCTGTAATTTACCCGGCAAATATGTGTAAACATCAACCAAATCTACTAAATTTTGACTAAGTGATTTGCCCTTATTACACTTGCTATTCTTTTGGGTTACATATGCCCGATATGACAGTAGGATAATATAGAGAACGAACTCCCTATTCTTATAAAACATATAGGGGAATTCGTTTCAAACCAACACATGCACACCGAAACTGATGTTGCTGAAACTAAGGCAAATGTCATTTCATGTGGCGTTTTTCTTCAAAGCAATAATTCAACGTTATTGCATACTTCTAAACCAGATTACACTTGGTGATGGTTTTGAAAATTTACGGAAGTTTATCATATTATTCTACGAGAAAATTTGTTTCCATACCTCTCATGAAGCAGCTACATAAATAAAACTGAAAAAGTATTACAGAGTGATCCGACTCTCCCGTCGGCGCCGGTCTACATGGCCCATACGCTGCACGGGAATGACAGCTACTATACACGCAAACATTGTGATGTCCAGTTGGTGACGTTTAAACTAAATTTCCGTCGTTGATCTAAATGAACCACATTTCCTGTTACGTCCGTTGGCCGTCATGATACGTGGGCGGCTTATACCGATTTAGCTTACCTGAAGAGCCAGGGTTGAATAGCGAGGAACACAATAGGCCAATCTGTCATTAGCAATAGTGTGGATTTAATTTGGCATACCCTTTCG